CGATATCTCCGCCTAGGAGTATCGTATTGACAAGCGGTTGGTCTTGTTTTAGAGAGCAAAGAATTCTGCTTAATGCAATACCATGAAATTATTATAGACTCGCAGGCAAAGTAGAATAATGTTGTCGTGAAATAGCACTATTTTCCCGTTTTTCGTTGACAATATTTGTCATTATACGCTCCTGCTATCATATAACCTATGCGCGGATCACTATCTCTCACGAGACCTACTAAAAACTTTTTATGCCCGTACGTGATATTAAAAAAAGTATACACGCATATAATACTGTCAAATTTACATTAATCTATCTATCACATAATCTATCTACACGCACTTTATAATTATTTTTCACACTAGATGGCGCTAAGATGTTAAATTTCAATCACGCGGATCACATATAATACTGTCAAATCTATTTCCTCCCCTTTCTCCTCATCACCCACTCCTCCTTCTACCGGGCCAATGCAATGCCTATGTCAATGATGTAGAGTCTGATGATAGATATTATCTTTACTATGATGTACATACCTCAAGCGCTAATAGTACATGTATTATTAGTTCTTGATGATATCAATGAATACCTAGATTCTACTATAATATAATGCCTACTTTTCAAGTGTATTCTCAAAGCTAAAAATTGAAATCGCGTACTTTAGTGGCAAATATGAGAGCCGTTGTTGAACTTGAGAGCAACGTAAAAACGTTCCTCGGACTAAATTCCCGTGTACAGATTTTACACGGGCTCAATTATTTACTACGCCACGAAAAATGGCACCCTCCATAGCTGAATGCTAGTTTATATATCTCGAGTTTCATATTTTCAGAATTCCGTGTTTGTACAGCTTATGTGCAATATTGTGCAATCATGATTTTTGTTACTACAACTTCAGCTTCGTCAAGGTTAATGAGACGCTGTATTTTTCGTGCTTTAAATTATAGAAACAGGAGATTTACAGACATTTATCACGTCCCGAATAGTCGTGTGCTATGGCAAAGCCAAAGGCGATGTGCATCTACCAACAATGTTATGAATGTGTTTGATCGGGAAACAAAACAGCGGCAAAAAAATCGTGCAGCAGCCCTGCCCGATTGGAATGTTTATGAATACGTTAAGGTACATATTATAATATTAATCTTGTTGGTCACACTCACTGTCAGTGTCACAGACGCGAATTGCCTATTTGTCTAATTTGAATTTGTAAACAAAATATAATAAATAAATTATTAAGTAAATGTAAAACTTAAAATTTCACGCAGACTAATGATTCAGTGGGAGCTCGTATAGTGACTACATAGTGTCATTAAATTTTTGGCTGGATGTCGTGTTTTCCCTAGCTCTAGTACTATAGCCCGCTTACATTAACTGCCGCTGGGGCGCCAGCGGCAGTTAATGTAAGCGGGCTATAGTACTAGAGCTATGTTTTCCCTACATACTTTATTAATCAAGGAGTTTTATTTTGTCACTGTCAGTGTTTTGCTTATCATATATGGTAGCATAAATAAAAATTCAAACTTTCTGTTTCAGGAAGAGATAGGGTGGCGTGTTGCCGATCGCATATTTGACGTGAAGCGGAAGTTTGACGTCGGAGTTGAACTCGGGAGCGGACGTGGCTACGTCAGCCGTCACGTGATACAGGAAAGCATGGGTTACCTTATGCAGTGCGAGATGGCAGACAAACTCTTAGACCAGTCTGTAGGACCGGAAGACAACGTCCCGCTGGATCGACTCGTCGCTGACGAAGAGTTTCTTCCCTTCAAGGACAACTCGCTCGACATCGTCGTGTCGAGTCTCAGCCTACACTGGGTCAACGACCTGCCCGGCACGTTCAAACAAGTGAACAACGCGCTGAAGAGCGACGGCGCTTTCATCGCGGCGCTGTTCGGGGGCGACACGCTCTACGAGCTGCGATGCTCGCTGCAGATGGCCGAGCTGGAACGCGACGGAGGCGTGTCCCCGCACATCTCGCCCTTCACGGAAGCGCGCGACCTTGGCGGACTGCTGGCCCGCACCGGCTACACGCTAGTCACGCTCGACGTCGACGAGCTGCGAGTGAACTATCCGTCGATGTTCGAGCTCATGCACGACCTGCAGGGCATGGGGGAGAGCAACGCCGCGTGGAACCGGCCGCTGAGCCTCAAACGCGACACCCTGCTCGCTGCCGCGTCCATCTACAGCGAGATGTACGGAAACGAGGACGGCACGGTGCCCGCGACGTTCCAAATATTTTACCTGATCGGGTGGAAAGCGGACAAATCGCAACAGAAGCCGGCCGAACGAGGATCGCAGACTGTGTCGCTTCACGATTTGCATAAGCTGGATAAGCTGATTGATACGGCGACAAAGACGGAGAAAAATATAGACGACTTAGAAAAGTTAGGACTCTTTACGGATAAACCAACGTGAAAGCGTTTTACGGATGTTGCACACGTGTGTCTCGCTCATATTTTTAATGATTATATGCAGTATAATAAGTACAGTAATCATTTGGAAAAGAAGCTCGAACATGTTCTTACTTATTAGACGTGTTTATATTGAAACAACAGAAATCGACTGTAATGCATGTTTTATCTTTAGTCGCGTAATATATTTTTAAACTACCGTCAGAATTAGCATTTCGTAACAGAGATAGTAAAAGGCCACAAAAATTATGTAGTCAACTGCAGATAATAATCCATAATAACCTTTAAAGGCATAATAAGCCAATTGATTATGCAATGTTGACGAATGCTAGAGTAACTGGCACCTTGTGTAGTTAATAAGTACATAACCTAATAGCCAAATGTGTATTAGTTTGTCAAATATCACTGCTGGTTACATTACAAACAAGACTTGAAATCGGTTGTTGATATGTATCAACGTATCATTTACGTGCCGTAAATGTTATCCAGGAGTCAAGTGATGACACAAACATTTGTGCGGCCCGTATGTTTTGGACGTCAGATGAAATGGAGGTGTCAGCGGTGTAACCACGGCCACAGACTAAACATGGAAATGGAGTAAAACACACGTACTAATCATGGACGCACGTGGACAGCCCTGACAAAAAGTTCCTTATCACGAGCGTCCATGTTTACGAAATCACTGATGATAGCATTGCAGAGATGCCAACACATATTTGAAGCAATCTGTAGTTTCTGGCCATCAAATTAGTAGTTCGAGGGTAACGTAGTGACCCGCGTTTGCTAGGGGGGTCCAGCATGCCCCCCGGAATTCTGAGAGTCAAAAATGACAATAAATTGACAAAAAAGTGACAATAATTGACAAAATAAAATAAAATTTCGATCACAGTGAAATTCGTAGTTTGATACAAACTGGTCGTAGTGGTACAAAAGGAATAGAAATTCGTATAAAATATGGATAAATCGTAGTGGTTGGCATCTCTGGCATTGCATACGGCCGAGCATGGGTGCGAAAATGTCTGGTGCACTATAAATCTGTATCACCCACTTCGCCGGCAGCGGTTTGAAACTGTAAACAACTGATTTTTGGACTGCGGATTTCAATTAGGCATTTCTTAGTAACCAGCAGTGACATTGGACAAACTAAGTAATACGCGTTTGGATGTAAGGTTATGTATTTGTTAACTACACAAGGTGCCAGTTACTCTAGCATTCGTCAACATTGCATAAGCAATGGGCTTATTATGCCTTTAATCACACCAGGAGTTAATAATGACAAATTTGTCATTATTAACCTTTGATCACACTAATAAACTTCAGCCACGTGTGCATTGCAGATGTGCACGGAACTCTTACCAGTGCAGGTGCGATCAAGCACGATAAACGTGCACAAATGTGTGTGTTTACGTCTAGTAAATACAAAAATCTCTTTAATCCTATTGCGGCTTTCAATCTTACAACCTCACCATCCATTAGCTACAACTTGTGGCCTACCACACAATTGCAAACATAAACGGATGCGACACGAGTACTCTATAAAGAAAATTTTAATCCGATCATCTAATTCGAAGAAAACGAATGTACAAGTAGTACACCCACAAACCATAAAACTTAAGATCACTTTTCATGAGTGAAGGAACATGGCAACGTTTAATTAAAATAAACACCTGGAGGAGGACAAGGTGACAGTGATAGAGATGACTTTAATGAGCAGTCCACTTCAGGGATGATTTCTCGGCAACAGTAGGGTGTGAGTATCTGCAATCTTGTCTCACACAGTTACTGCTGTAGCGACATGGCTGTAAAACACATGTAAATTTAGAGTAATTAAAAGACACATTTAGTTGACAACTGTAAGGGTAAGCTACAGATTATTACTACTACAGTACACAATCTATTATCGGAAATTCTGAAAACCGAAAGCTCCGAAATCCGAAAGTTTTTCCGTGGAGGTCGTCTGCACACCAAAGCTCGCGTTTGGCTGTACAAGGTTCACTGCAGAAGTAGTAATGTGTTTTTTACTCATACATATTGTACTGTATGGGTACGGTATTTGGCCTCTTGAAAACTTTGGTTTTAGTACTGGCTAGTTGCAAGATATATGGTATGTATATCTATCTGTGCTGTACAGTAAAACTCGCATAAGTCGACACTTTTGGGACCAGCATATTTGTGCCGACTTACAAAAATGACGACATACGCGTAAGTCGTCATTTTGTCGACTTATTTGTAGGGCTTCCCTCCCAGGCGCCTGTCACACCTACGCAGTCATAAACATGTCCACACACGACGTCAGTTTGCGCCACATATATAGCAGACATGACAATCGGGTCCGTACATCAATCGACACCGCTGCTGGCCGTAACGCAAGTACATCGTACACACTGGCGGCAAGCGTGGCACACGCTGGCTATCTGCAACACCCGCTGTTGATTACACGTTTGGACATTGCAGGACCGTCTGCCAAATTTTCTTGGAACACTTGCTGAAAAAATACGGTCATTCCGCGATGCCGTGCTCTGGAACGAACTAGTTAGTATAGCAGAATTTTCAGGGAGTCACACGGACTCCTGCATATGTCAAATCAGGGAGTCCGACAGTAAATCAGGTAGTATTTTAGCGCACATCTGCGACAGCCAACTCGCACATCACCTTAGACCGTACGTACACTGCACGCGCGCGCCATCGGCATTTCTGATGACGACTTACAGATGGGAAATTACTGTTGTTTGTATTACATGGGACATGTCTGAGGGCGACGACGTGCACATAATGACGGCTTATAAATGACCACTTAGGCAGGGGTCTAACTCAGGTGGCCCTTACGACCTAGTCGCCGACAAAATTTGAAGATCGTACGTCAAAAACGGCCAGATCGCCGATAAAAACATGGGCGACTAAACTCGACAAGTGTTCTCTTACGATCGAAAATACGGTCGCCGACTGCGATCGCAGGAATAGAAACGGTTCTATTTCTATGCGGCGGTCGGTGACACTCGAGTCACATGATTATCAAAAGTCACGTGATTAACAAAATGGCAGCCTACACAGCAGTTAACAAGGTGGGATTATTGCACAAACCCTTTCTCAAATATATATTAAGTTTTCCGTATATCACAGGCAATTTGTTTAATTCTTTTTCTGCACATGATTATAACGATTTTCAGAAAATTGAGGATAGATTTACGAAGTTACCTGATGTTTACTGGTAAGCACCATTTTGTTGGTCATGTGACTCGTTTTATTTAGACTAATCCCAGCATCAAGCTCGCTCTGTTTGTGCTAAAGAACTGCTTGTGCTAGTACAAATACTGGGGCCGCGAACCCATCTACGTTTCCTGCAGAATGCTACGATCTAATCGGCAATGTACAGCGTGAAGTCAATTCAAGTCGACGTGAGTGTTGCTACGCTGCTAATCGGCGACAAAGTAGTCGCCGATAGTCAAATCGTAGGGCGACCTGAGAGGGGCTTTATGCGAGTTTTACTGTACTACCATTCCGAATTCCGAAAAGTGTCTGGTCCCAAGGGTTTCAGAGAGTAGTTTATGTATTGTACTATGCTCATGACTACAATTGCACAACGTATCATTTTATGCAACTGACTACTTTCACGCAGCTGGCTACTTCTACACAACTGACGGCCATTATGTAACTGTTAAAATTCACTAGTCACTCACCCCAGGATGCAAGTACGGACAGTTCATATTGGTACACTTCGGGTGGAACTTGCATACAACTGGCTGCGATTTTTGGAGCTTTGCCGTTCTTGCAGTAGGTTTCGTTGCGGAGAGTATAACCATGGGCCGTGATGACACTGTGCAAATAAATGAGGAATTTGTACACAGCATACAAGATCTGTTCATATACTCGACGTCTAAAACATAACTGCTGATTATATAATCATAGTAATTGAAGTATCATAAAAAGTGTCACAAAGATTACTATACTTAGCAGAATTATTCAATAACTGTCCATTTAATGTTTGCATAAAAAATACCAATCCTTGTTGTAAAAACCGCTATGATTATATCATACAAGCAAGATCTAATGAAAGTGTCAATGACACTGTAGCTCACCTTGGGTGTGATAGAAGAGGGAGGGGGATATATAAAGCAAGAGTATATATGGGAGTACTCCCATAATATAGCATATCTCCCATTATATACTCTTGATAATGATATATGCATAAGTTTTGATGCGAAAATAAATGTTTCAGATCTGAAAGTCTGAAATCTTGACCGTAGACGTACGGACGGACGTACGACGGACGACACCCCATAACAACAGGGGCGTGTACAGGATTTGTACCAGGAGGGGGTCTAACCGTAACACAAACTTGCGAGCACGCGAAGGTGGGGTCTGGGGGATTGGCCCCCCCAGAAAATTTTTGAAAATAGACCCCCTTAGATGCATTTTCTGCGTGAGC